CACGCACGCACGCACGCACGCACGCACGCACGCACGCACGCACGCACACTGGAGGGGTATAAATCAAATTGATACACACCATGACATGGACACTTAAGTGTTGGCTGGCTCCCCTTGATCCGCGTTGATTGGATACTTCATCAAATTCTGATTGGCCCATATGCCAAGGACGAGCGCAACAGTGCAGGGTGCTGTTGATAAACTGCTTATTTAAAAAGGACCTTGGAATACTAATTGGGCATTAAACTACAAAATTCTGTGATCGATTCCGACAGCTACCTCTTGCCGTCACTGCATCTTTGGAGGCACAAAGAGAGGAGGAGAGGACTCGGTGGTGGTGGTGGGGGGTGGGTTTGCATTGGCCGAAGTGGCTGGTTTATTCACCGGCAATGAAAAGGCACGAGCCAAACCCAACATTTTTGTGATCTCTGGCAAGGAAAGTTAACACTGTACAATCAAAATGTATTCTAATATCAACCCTCTGAACCCAGAGCAGTCTCAGGGTTTTCTTTTCTGCCGTCACATTTTCCTCGCTGTGGCCTTTATGTCTTTTGTGCAATAAATCATTGAAAAAGAAGAAAACTGGAGGCTGTATGTGGTATATGCATTGAGCTATTCACATTTGTACAACCTCTACTTACAGCCTCTTTTACTGAAGTGTTGTCACGTGACTGTTGGTCTCAGCCGAGTCAATCATGGCCTCATAGTTGCTCTGAGGAGCTCAGAATATATATAAAATGTTCTTAATGAAATATCACAATTTTAAGCGTAGTTTCGGTTGCGTTTTCTGATGGAAGCGTTCATTACATAAGATATGTTCAAGGACCGTCGGAAAGATAGAAATCTGATGATAATGAGGGTCTTTGTAGCTTCTGGCTGTGATAAACAGTACAGTGTTGGCGATTGTTTCTCCATCCCCCGGGCGGGTTCAACACTGAATCAATGGCTCTGTGTAATAACTATATCCTAGAGGATCATCATCCAGCTGCGTTTGCTGTATGTATGAAACTCTGTTAACAGATTCATCTTCTTCTACAAGCCGTAGATAACTTCAAGTGCTATCCGAGTGTTTCACTGAGACCAGCTTTGGAACGAAGCAACGACAATGAGAGGACGGTTCATGGATCCATTTATGAGAGAACCTTGAAATGTGACACCAAGCAAGATGCACATAGCATTTAATTCAGAAGACGAATCACTGGGGTCGAGATTTTCTTTTTCAAGTGGCTGATGTTACCATGGCTGCCTGAACAAAGCATCCCAAACCGCTGTTAATTTAACCCATACAGAGCTACTAAGATGTAGATGGGACAGGTATTCTCAGCAACAGAAATAAATATCTTGACTCAAGGTGATAAAAGGAGACTTTACCTTAGCCAACCGTTGGGTTTCTTTGGTTGTTTTAAAGTCATTCACAAAGACTTGGTCGGGACCCACAGGTGGGTCGCAGTAGATTTTAATTGCGTCGCCAAATAAAGCAGAATTTCTTCCATTGTCTTCATTTAACATTTAAAATCTGCGGTTCACCTTTGAGCCACCGTGTTCGTTTTCTTCCGATAACTGTAGCCGACCAATTTGAGGCAAAAACAAGCACTTTTAGTGGAAATACAGTGATTTTAATCACATTACAGCCCGTTCAGCGGCTTCTGTCTGCAACATTCTCCCTCAATACTGGACCACTTAGTTGTTGTCCCCATTAGTCACTTAGATACAAAAACATGGGAAATAGACTCCATGTAACCCAAAGTTACCCTTTCACATGCATTGTTTTTGGTAGTGACATTGACTCTCACTCACCGGCCTCTTTCCTAAAAACACTGAAGTCATGTTTCCACATTAGTTCATTCCCAAAAAAGCACAACAGATAGTTAATCAACAGCCTGTATTCAGTGGAAAACAAACACCGATCTGGAGCAGTTCTGTGGAAAAGATAGCGAATCCCATGAGGCTGTGCAAACCATCATGGTCTCAAGCGGTCTAAACTGAACAGAATACAAATCCCCTTCCCCTATCAAAGCCAGTGCAGGATGGGTATTTGTACTTAAACCATGTTCCTCCCACATCATGTTAGAGGTCCTGCATCCAGTGAGTCCCACTGTGACTCTCTACAACTGGGACTGTGGAGCTTGACGACGAGCAGCAGCTTGTGTTGCAGGATGACAACTCTCCAAAGTAACACACAGTCTGCTGCTCTGCATGATTCATCTTCTCTTCTGTGGCAGCTGCTCGGTAATTCTGGGAGTCACTGTCATCCTTCTCACTGACATGTAGGCTACTTTATAATACGCACTTTAGAAAATACATTCATGTGCTATTCACATGCTTTTAATTCCTTTATATTGATTAAGCTGATCAGTAAAATGCACTTGTTGATTGCAGATGGAAAGCCTAGTTTGTCTCTAGAAGGGGTCTAGTAAACAAGTAAACAGAAACAGCAAAAAATTGAAATAGAGAATCTCAAAATGTACAAATCGTAATGTTTATTGAATCTCTGCAGCCTGACTCTG